ACAAACATTCATTCTAATTTCACCGATGCCCAGAAAACGGGCGTGGCGTTACAGTCGAAAGGCGAAAACCTTGTGGCAGGTGTCCACCTGCTAATTCCGTTGAACAAACATAACGAACCGAGTTCCATCGTGCTGAGAAGCTGATTATCACTAATACACAAACGAGCAGACAATTTCCAAGTTACATCTTGCGTAGAATTTAATCTGGATTAAATCTCTATTGCGGTCACGTTGGTAAAGATATACATAAACCACATAACGACATAACAAATGCGTCTAGTACATGAAATGAAATTGGTATTTTCTTAACGATCAGCAATTTCATTATAACGCTTTGCAAGAAAGCTTAACATATTAATATTTGAGAATGCACAACGTAATAGAAATTTTTTCTGACTCTTCATAATATTTAAGATACGTTATGAGTGCATGAGGCAGCTCGTACATTATAATTTGTCGAGACATTTTGACATAAAAAAACAAAGATTGAGTTAATCCAAGGATTAGGTGCGAGTCATGATTTATGCGCTAATATCGCGCTACAATGAGATGGGGAAGTTTAATATGTTTTTCGTGAAAGTCCTGGTGCGTAATTAATTTACATTCGCGCCTGAGAAGAGAAGTGCGAGTAAGTGTACCGAAAGCCGACCACGACTCTGCGCCGTCATTAATAATAATCCTGGAATTAACAAAGGAAGGGTGATGCGAATTATTAAATTCTCCGAGATAGAAAAGCCCGTTGTTGGTGTCTACCTTCACCACACTTCCTCTATTTTTCTTCCCTAATTTGCCGAGAGATTCGTTAGTCTTCTGTGCAATTTGCTTTGCTATTATTATAAAAGCCGCGTTAATTACTCGTCGTACTCGTCTACCAAAGGCGATATCTTTGACTTCATCCGGGATGTGGGAACAAAATTATACGAGACGTGATGCGTGTAGATCTACAATGAGTATCCGCTTGTGTATTGTAGCAAATTATATGCGTTATGCATTTTTTTAAATTATAAAGAAAATCTGAGATTCTACATAGCCGTTTGTATAAGCCAGGCTATGCAGAGAATATATTAAATTATTAAAGTTCGCCTCATCTAGTAGATAAAGACGTGACTTACGCTGTGTTAAAGGTTAATTCAGAAACCATTCTCAGTTGCCTAAAGAAGGAGTGGTTCGCTACTCGAGTGCGACGTGAGTGCTTCACGAGAGAGGACAAACGACGGCACAGAAGGAGATCCGTTCTTGTAAAGGAGGAGATTTACGATATTGCGCAATTCGTAGATCTCTAACAAATCGCGCAAGCCTTCATCGCTGCCTCAACTTGTAACTTAAGCGTGGAAGTCTGATTCAACGCCAAGACATTTCAATTACCATTTCGGTATTTCAAGATTTGCGGAAAATCGTTTATCAACTCGACGTGCGCGCAGATATATGTTGCATATATGGGAACATACAAAATGGAGGCAGAGAAAGACGGTACTCTCAGACTATCAAGTAACAACAAATACAAAAGCAACGGTGCTGGATATACGGTGGAAGAATTTCTCCACGAATTTATTACGATTTTTCTATTACAATCTCTCTTACGTTGCCTCGAACGTATTGCGTTCTCCTTCAGGCGCGGCTTGTTCGTCGACCGTTTCGTGGTCGTCTCGGGTTTCGCGGAGAGGAGCCGTCTCTGGAAAGAAGCGGTTATCAGTTTGACAGTGACGCGGTTAAAGGAGGAGAGCGAGAACTAGCGAACGAGAGAAGACGAGAGAACGACGTTGGGACGTTAGGTGAAGAGGGGTTGCGAAGGCATTCAATTTCCCTCTTCTCGCGGATGGAGGGCGGCACACACCCTTCCGTTCGGAGCTGTCACTCCCTGAGAATTATGGTCGCCGAATGAGTGGCTGGGGCGGGCCAAACGTCGCATAACTTACTTCTTCTTCTTCTTCTCCCGTTCCTGCACTCTTTTCCAGGATGTCTATAAATACGAGAATCGAACTTGTCTGCCTACTCCAACTACTCGGAGGCGACCTCAAAGTCTAAGCCTTTCGTTGCTGGATCAGATTCAAAGGGAACGCGACGTGAAGACGATCGATCTCTGGGAATCTTTAGGTCACGTATTGGATAGCACTGATTACGAAACTTATTTGTCTCAATGCGTGTTTTGTCGTTTCAACGAAGCTCGAGATGGTTCTTGAATATTTTTAGACGACATAGGGCTGCAGATGATTACCAAAAATTCCTCTGCGTAATTGTTTCCTGCTCTCCCGGAATAATGAAAATGAAATGAACGAATAGCGAAAAATAGAGACATTATTCTCTGTGTATTTTTATATCTTCAATTTTTGTTGCACATGTGTACATGATGCTTATTTGAAGAATTGAAAAAAAACATATAAATTAAAATTTTTAAAATATTTCTTAAAATCTTAATATTATCGGTAAAATTTTTATTTAAAATTTCGATAATTAATACATCATCCAGCAATCTTAAGAAATTTAGTTTTATTACATCTTTTTTATTCTTATAATTTTGAGGTCGATAATATGCTTTAAAACTTATAATTTGCTAGAAGTTAAATACTCGAAAACATTAAATTTGCTCGTATATTGTTATTCTATCATTAATTAACTAATTAAGAATTATTATTTAGTCAAAAGTGAGTGAATAATTTTTATTGAATAATTTTTATCTCATTTCTATCTTATTCAAAGCCGAATCTCCGGCCATGTTTGGAAGAAGTAAGGAATGTTTACGATCCTCTTATTTATGCCAGACATCTTTTCGGTGCCAGACATCCGCGACGATGAAGAAAGCGGTCGGAAGAAAAGTTTGTGGATTTAAGATCGTTGGACGAATAAACGAGCTCGATAATCGTTGACGGTTTCGACGATGGCTCAGGAAACAGCTGTCGTTAGAGTCATTGGAAGTTGAATTTTCCACACGGATTTATCAAGTTTACCGAAGCACCGCTCCATTTTGCCGCGATTTCTTGCTAAAGAGCTATATATCATTCGCTCGTTTCCCGAGAACCCTGACGTGATCTTATATTATGCCAACAGATCTGCTTTGACTTCTTCTCAAGGTACGATGGCCGTTCTCGTTCGCGAGTGCCGCTTTGATCGTCAGTAGGCCTGCAAGGATATGTAATTTCAGGTCATCCCCAGTACTTATCTTTCTTCGATTCCAAATGGAAATCCGTTCTCGGTATCGTGTTAAGCGTCGTAATTATCACGGAACGCGCGATTCACTGAGCGATAAATACGGCGCTCCAGAACGGCGCCCGTGATGCCTTTTTCATCGTTTTCGAGCAGCGCGCGCGGTTTACCCGCGTTGGCCTCGAAAAAAGTAGCCCCAGGACGTTCAAGCGCATAATGAAAACCTGATAAACTCCAGTTCTCACTGAAAATAACGGCGCAAACGGCGCAACACGACTCTCGCGAGAACCCGGCTTGTTTAAAACAACTTTTAATGACGACGAAAAGTTCAAGCTGAAAAGAGCATATCGTTGATGCGAGACAAACGATGTATCAACTTTATTATATATGACCTTTGGTGGTTATAAACCTATGTTACATGATATTTTTTGTTAACCTTATTTTGCATTTAGTGTTAAATAGTCTTTTCATTTTAACTTGATATTTAACTGTAAAAAATATAGTGTTTAAAATGTTCACATTGCAAAACAAACGTTTAGTAATAAAAAATATTTCAATTTTAGTATTTTAAATTCAAATATAATATTTTGCTTATTGAAAAAGTTTAAAAATAAAACATCTTTATGTGTTTAAAAAACGGAGACTAAAATAAAACATGTTAATATCTTAATTTTAAAATTAAATATTTCTTTTATGTATTTATATTTAATTAAATATATTTAAGTAAAATATTTCTTGTTGATTATTGTTGAGTAATTAACATATTTATTTAAGGTATAATTTGAAATATCGTATAATCAATAAAATATAATTCGTAAACAATTGAAATGTATCTACCAATGGAATTAACTGAATACGTTTCGACTTTGGATTTGAGTCCTCTTTAGTACGGAAGACAAGTATAAATAAACTTAACTTCCGTACTGAAGAGGACTCAAATCTAAAGTCAAAATGTTTACAGTTAACTTCATTGGTAAATACAATTGTTTGTGAATTATATCTTATCACCTTATAAACATATTATTTACGCATTAACAACTGCGGAGGTTCATATAAACATTTTACTTATACTTGATTTATTCTTCAAGTAAAAAGCCTATTTTTTAAAAGTATAATTTTTAATGCTAAGAAATTAAAAATGATAATGTAAAAATTAATATCCATTCAGATTATTCAAGAGAAATTGTCTCCAAATTCAATTGAGAGAACGTCATGTTAGCTTACATTATTAAGGCATTTTGCATCATATATGTATATACATGGCTAATTTTAACATCTCGTCTAAAATGAGCTTTACATCCGAAGTTTATATCGTTCATTTGTTTTTATTCGAGACAAACATATAATTGAAGCAATTTCCTTTATTTGCAGCACAATGCATCGCACCTCTGGGGATGGAATCGGGCGCGATTCCCGATGCGGACATCACTGCGAGCTCTAGCTTCGATAGCGGAAACGTCGGGCCGCATCGCGCACGGTGAGTGAATTACTGATTCGTTTACGCAGCGTATCACATACAAATCTGACGCAATACAAATCCGGAAATTTGATCATATTAACTCCGCTGCGGACCGTGAAAAACGCAGCGGCGTTCGCTCGCATCGCGAGACCGACATCGATGGCGTAATGCAGCGAATCAACTTGACCATTTATCGGCTCCATACCTCGTCGAGCGCTGTCTATTAACTGAACGCCTATTCCGGAAGTTCTCGATCTGTCTACTCCTAACTGGCTCTCGATTATAGGCTATTTAAGACGTCTAGCGTGCGATCGAACGGCGGTAGCGGTGAGAAACCGAAGAGGCAAAGTCATCATCTCCATGGAATGCGATAGATCATCTATAAGTTCATCTATAAGAGCAATTCGATAAGCTACGCGGGCGACACGTCCGTCATCTTGTCTGTCTTCGAGATAGTTGACGATCGACCGGTCGACTGGTTGCACCGTATATTAATCATGTCCTACTAAACCGCAACGTCTAATTCGGCCCTCAGCCCGCAATGAGGATTAATGACGCGCAGTGTCCCGCATGCGGAGCCATTTGTATCGGCTATTCCGAAGCTCTTAGACGTCGTTAACGTGCCCCGTCGCATACTCCTTCGATTATGCGTGTCAGCTAATTACCATTCCAGCGAGACAAACACACGACGAGGTGGACGGAACGGAGAACAGCGACGGCGAGGGACGAATGTTCAAACACAAGGAATCATCGGGACCACCTACCGCGCTAATAATCTCGCACTTGCAAGACATTAGTCGCTCCACCAGTGCCCTTTCGCCCGTAATTGAAATTCTGCTGCATTAACCGAGCCGTGCGTGAATTTTCAATATTCCGCGGGATGTAATCAACTCTCGTCACTATTAATCAATCATTGAAGCGTGAACATAAAACAAATTAATGCATGAAATTAATCCCGGCGTATCGAGGCGTAGGTAATCAGTTGATAGATAAAACGGAGATAAAACGGATATGTAGTCAATTTCGCAATCGACAACGTCACGCGAGAGTTTCTTCAGTGCAACAACACCGATATCGCTTCAGACCGCATTGTCGACTAGAACTTCTTTGACGGCATTTTCGAGGCTTCGTGGTACATTTTCGGGCTTCACGGCGAATACCCTATTTACCTATCCGCTTACCATACTCAAATACTCTTATGAATTCCTATCTAATATGCTGTAATCTCGGAATAACAGTTTACTTTATGTAAAATTTAGATTTTTGAAATCATGAAATCTTACAATTTTTCAATTTGTAGATAACACACACACACACACACACACACACACACGCAGCAGGTTTCTTCCACACACAAAAGATATATTTGATTTACAGCACTCGTACTCGCACATTAATCGTTTTATAGTTATTTGATGTATTGCAACGAAATGTATTGTGTATCGATAAATCGTAAAGTATCCTCAGAAAGAAATCCTCTCGATTATTCGACAACGACGTCGCTCGAGAGGATCTTATTCACCTTAGCAACGGATCATTTCCCTTCAGACGGTTCCTAAGTCCGATCTCGAAGCAACGCGCATCCCTCCAGTTCGACAAACCATTCCTCTCAATAATCGGTCCCTCCGTCTAAGGACGCGCTCCGATTCCGCCGACGTGGCAGCTCGCCGTTCAAGTCGACGTAATCGTCCGTTCCGAGATTTATCGCAGACCAGGAGTGCCGTGCGCGCGGAATGTCTTTGATGCCCCGGACTGTATCAAAGTGGCAGCCAGGCAGTTCGAGGTCTCTTAATGGGCTATGAGTTATGATCTTTGGCGCACGGTGGTGGATATTACTCCTTTCTCTTTCTCGATCTTATTCCCTCCCGCGTCCACGCCATTTCCACATCCGTAAGTCTCGGATTTTCTTTTGCTCGCTTCGTACGTTCCGCCTCTTTGCCACTCTTCTTGTCTCTCCCTGTCCTCCATTTCATTCTGTATTTTCCTTCCCGTGTTGCCAAACCACGTTGTGAGGCGTCCCTAGACAGACACACGGCAAATCCTAGTCGGCCGCTTTTACTGCCTTCCACGTCAAAGCAACACTTAAAGTTCTGACACTTCAGAGAGGACGGTAGCTCACCTCTTTATTGCACGAGAACATTTTTGCTCGAGTTCCGCCGGCGGATTCATTTGGCACCGCCACCCGCTTCTTCGGGATCTCATCTCTTGTTCTTCCCTTTCTTAAATTTTTCTCCGCCGAACACTCGTCCCTGTCGTGTTTCGTACAAGGAGGCACCCTCTCGTTGCAGACGAGAGATCCCGCTGGGAAATTCCCGAAGAAATGCTTTCATAAACTTTTCATAGTTAATAAACACGCTTACGATGACGATGCATGCCATACTCGGTATAATACGCTTTATTAATAAATGCCTATAAAATAATACTGCTTCATGGATTATCACATCGAGAATAGCAGCGTAATAATTTACGACGTCAAAAAGAATTCGAAACAGATTCTCTCGTCGGCTTTACGAGATATGGAATTGTATATTGCAGCATGCGTATTTCACGGCCATATCGCAGACGACAGAAAAGCTTTTTAAAGCCATAGACAAGCCCGCGAAAGGTATATGCGAATACAATTATTAGCTAACTTGGGGTAGCTTCGCTGCCATTCCCGCGACGGTGTCAGCTCATCTTTAATTCATGTCATCCGGGACTTGGTTCGATCGATAAATTATAATTTCATCCCGTATCGCGTTGGCGAGCTGACGGTTATCCGTCAGACACGCGGTCGATCACGTATTTATACGATTTCCTCCGAGTAACGATACCGTGTTTCCGCTCGCTCTCGGTACTCATACACTGCGATATGTAACAACATTTTCTTGTCAACGAATATGGGCGCGAATTCTTTGCACGTTGCAAATCCCGACGAACATTCAAAGAGATTTCAATATTACCGCACTACATTTCTCCGTGCATTCCGCATTCAGGAAGGTTTTACGTAATTTTGAAATGCCATTTCTTTAGACATTCTTATTCGAAGCTATAAACGAAGAATATCGCGGATCGAAATATGATAAACCTTTCTGAATTTGCATGCAGATAAGAATGTATAAGGTCCGTAAAAGCATCACGCAAGACGAGAAAGTTCGGATCACGCGCATTGGCGACTATTTTTCCTTTTCACGAGCTAGGGATTCCCCGGAGAAGTTCTCTTTTCCCCTCGACGATTGTAGCGCGATAAGAAAACGGGAGAGGGAAAATAAAGGTCCGTAATCCCAGAGCAAATATTTATTCTTCCAGGCTGAAGCAGGAGAGCCACGGAGGTGCCTGGTGTCCGAAACAGCAGATCACGGCGGAGCCGCGCGAATGGTTGGAAATCGATCTTCACACAGTGCACACGATCACGGCGACCGGTACTCAGGGTCGCTTCGGTAACGGTCAGGGTGTCGAGTATTCGGAGGCGTACATGCTGGAATACTGGAGGCCGAAACTAGGAAAGTGGGTCCGCTATAGAAACTTCCGTGGCGAAGAGGTAAATCTTAATATTACTCCGTTATTCCGATTCATATCTTTACGTGAATAATAAGCGACGTAACGACATGCTAAAAGGATGATATATCTAAGGCCTTTTATCAAGAACGATAAAAGTCCAGAATAATCGAGGTCAGGGATGTCTCGAAATAGCGCGGTGCAGAAACAATGTAATCAAGATATTTATAGATTATGAAGTAAGTACAGGTTAAAACGTACGAAGATTCCCATATTGACAAACCCGCGAAATTCATTATATATAATCCGCTACCTAGAACGTGCAATTTGTCACGATCGATTTAATCATGTGAATCGGCAGCGCTGTAGAAAGACATTTCGTTGGACGTTTGATTCGATATGGCGATTGCGGCAATCCAATTCGCTAGGTTACGTACATATGAACGTAGTCACGCGGTTAAATTTAGTCGCGAGCAATACGCATAAAGCCGTGCGCTCACGCAGATTATTGAGAATGATTTGTAGTTGTGTTCGCGAATGTCTGTGCGGCCACAGGCAGTAACTAAAGCGTGACGTTAACAAGACGTAAATCTCCGATGTAATATGCCGCGTTGGAGAACTCAGATGCACGGTACGTGATGTAATTTATACAGACATACTGGTAACCGTGAACCTAAGTCTTTAATTAGCGTCGTCCGCAATAATCACATTGCTACCGGCAATTTACCCGTCCGGCGAGAATAAATTTCGACAGTCGTGACCAGCGAGTTTCGCGAAAATGGTAAGATGTTCTTGGTCGAATAATCCGCATTAATCCACGGGAAACGATGGGCCTTCCTTGGAATTTCCTTTTTAAAAACTTCCTTTTTATTGCAAAATGTTATATGTATTTTATACGCTGTTAAAAATGTCATGAAATTTAATGTATTTTTTCTAATATTTTATGAAAGAACCCCGCACTAATCTTATGTAAAATGGATCCCAGTCGAATTGGCTGAAATTTTACTATAATGTAGATCATGTTCTGATCGAAAGTCCTCTTGGGCGCAAGGTCGAAAAATGGACAATTTTTGGCTATAATGGAAATATGGCTAAATTCCAACATTTGATTACAATAAAATTTCAGCCAATTCGACTGGGATCTATTTTACATAAGATTAGTGCTGGATCCTTTAGTGTACTTTCCATAAAATTTTATGTGAAATTTAATGCATGAATATTAAATTTACTTGTAATTTCGTTTTCATTTTACAACATTAAAGTTTTTATTTATCTGCTTGAAATTTATTTTCTCCTTTTAAACAGTACATAAAAAAATATACGTAGATTTTATTATTCTAATTCTTTTTTTTTGTGTTACTGTAATTTTAAATAAAACGTTTTATGAATTACAATTTAAATAATATTTAGTTTTACAATGTAATGCCAATTTAATAATTTAAATATTTTATCTTTTTATATTTAACTTTGAAAAAAATTTTGCTTGCGCCGCAATGGTCCTCCATTTTCCAAATTTCTGGATCCGCCAATGATAAATCCATATCGTAATTCAACAGACTATCTGATGTAGTCGAAATCAAGGAAACGTCCACCTCATAAAATCACTCATGTCTTCGCACGACGCGTGCCTATTTAACGCGTGCCTGCTCGTGGAAATATATCTCGAGCGAACTCGAACTCCAACTCACGAACCGGAGAATGTCATCGATTTCCGAAACCAACGAAAGAGAGGCGAGCGTCCGGTGGTGTTGGGGTAACTTTCCTTGGGAGTTGGCAGGCGCGGTGGTACTGCGAGCTTATTTGTATAGAAGGGAGGATCAATAAAATGAGGGACGAGGTCGTAGCGTGCAGGCAGGTTAGACGATTCCAACTCACCTACATACAGACAAGCGTACCTATCTGAATATGCGAATCCTTTGGTAGCGCGTGCATCTGACGAAGGTCGAATCCGTAGGAGCGCAGACTGAGTTACATTTGCATGCAACCATGAAGAGCCTTGCTTTTCGTATATATGTATTACGTGTATTCTCCTTAATACGGAGGCTACGTACATACCTAATATTTCATTTACATATTCCTCAAAATAAACCTATGTATTTTAAAGCAAATGTATTTTAAGATATCACGTCTGATACCAGACATTCTGGTACCAGACATCAAGCTAATTTTGCACATTGAGTAACGTAATTCTTTCTAAGCATTACTATTATTAACATCTACGTATAATTTATTCTAATTTTCGTGCAAAATTCATCAAAAAGTTGGGAAATACTGCATTCGCCTCTCAGTTACGAATTATGAGTCATAAGGTAAAAAAACGTATAATTCACTTTCCATTTGGACAAAACATGAAAAAAGATTTGTGGGAGTATTTAATGTAAAAATTTAACTAATTTTTTGTCTTCTTTCTAAACTTCGTAAAGAGGAGGGTCTTTTCTCGGAATTATAAAAAAATCCTGATTTTTGTATAATTATTATTTCACAGAATCTCTCAATACGATTCTCTAGATAGAAAACAAATAAATAAAATATCTGAGAAATCTTTCATCTTGTAACATTTGCATATCCCGTATAATTCGCTCGTAGCGCGATGTAAAGTACCTGTTGGGGAACGGAAGGGCCCACCCAGAAAACATCAGCGGTAGGGATAAACCTGCAGAAATTTGTGTCTCTTCTACCCGCTGTGCTCTCCGCGCTGTCCCTCGCTTAATTACACAATGAGACCCGGCTTATCCAACGCATAATCTTTCTTAATAACCCAGTCCGATACGGACAACATCGTCGATAGAAACCACGCGGCTGTCATCATCTATATTTTACAGCCAATGATCTTGAACGGAATTAAGAATAGTACTCTAAGAGAAGATAATTCTTTTTCTAATAAAGTAAATTATATATATTATTATCTCGGTATCGGATCAACTAATTTCCATTTGAGCATATTATAGATATTAAATATTAATAGATATTCAGTATTGACAGTAATGCTATCATAAAAATCTCAGTAATATATATCATATGTAAATCCGCATGATCCGTCGTGCGTCATCATCTATCGAAAATTTCCATTTAAATAAAGCTATAAGATATCTTATCTTCGTGTGATCTTCCATGACGACGCATAGCCATCAACACCGCCTCTAAGACGTTCAGCTACCAACGGTAGCAGCCTACCGCGACCGATCCAAAAGCAGCACAAAACATTAACATAAAATGGGTGTTGCTCTCTGCCACGCCCTCGCACCACTTCGAGTCGTCCGTTGGAATTCGCCTGCCACGAAAAATGACGAGAAATCGCGGCGACGGTCGAAGAATAATTTGAGAGACGATCGTTCGCCTCGGCGCCGCAGCGTGCTTGAGAAAAGTCTTTCACGACAAAGCAGACCGGCGAGTGCTGCTCAGGCCGGTCTGCAACGCGCGTGGGCGCAGAAGATAAATATCAAGATTACTTATTTTTCCCGGCGCACGTCTCAACGGCTCGTAAATGCCGTCGTAATTTGGTCTCGTCGTTCGGTGCAGCTCGGGTCTTTTAGAAATTAAGATTCGCCGCCGCATTGGGAATCGGATATCTGAGACCGCACGCGAAACCGGCCGCCGAATTGTGAGTCATCTTCATAAAAAAATCCGATAGCTGGTTGCGTCGCATTGTGCCGCGAGTATAACGAATCTGGATTATAAAGTAAGAACGTACAATGTAAATAGTATGAAATATTCAATGTAATTTTCAACAGCCAAGTTAGAACATTTTGATAGGGGTTCTTTGCAAAAAAATTACTAATTATAATGCACGTTGTAATATATAAATATTTAAAGCCTAAGATATTCCAAGTATTCATATATGCTAAAATCTTATCAGGTTTTCTTACATGATTTTTTAAATACTTAATATTCCATGTATTAGGTTGGATTAAAAGTTTGTAGTGTTACAAATTTCAAAATTTAAACAACTGTAACTTCGTTAAAAATGAACGAAATTTAAATTTAGAAAAAAGGTTTTAAAATCCCTACTTTTTAAAGATCATTATGACTTTTGAGTTTCTATGAGTCTGATAATTTTTATGTACAACAAGCTATAATCAACTAAACAAAATAGGTAATATTTTCTCATTTTGTGAGCTTGTCAAGTGCCCCAAAAAGAATTGCGAAAATTTTCGACTTTCTAATATGAAAGCTTAAAATTTATCCTGCATAATCAGTTTTTTAATGCTCCTAAAATTTTTTGTTACTCTTATCTCAAATTAAATAAAAGGGGCATTTTTATTTTAATTGCTCAAAACTCTGTTAAAAATCATCGTATCGCAATTCAAAAAATAGATTTGTAAAACCGAAACTTTGCTTTATCAAATCGTATAATTGCCAAAATTATTTTACATTTTTTGTAGATACAAGTGAAAGTACATAGTGCTACGAACTTTTGTTCCAACCCACTTGGATGTTCCATATTAAATTTCGCGACGTATCAATACAAAGCTTAACTTCTTCTCGCTTTCCGACGTGTAAAAATAATTCTAAATACAATCATCGAGGAGAGAAACAGGATGCTATTACACTCGGCAAAGCTATACACGTAACTGTCAACCTCCGGAAACGCCCACTATGTGGTTCCGTCGCCTGGCAGAAAATTTCTCACGTGTCGGTTCATTGTATTGGCCCATCCGACGCCTTGGTACCGTCCGTTTCAATGTGCTAAACATCAGGTACCGCGTCGCGGCGCAAATAAAACGGTGTCAGCTACCGGTCCCAATTATCGCGCCACCCAGCGCGGAACGTGCCGGTTCGCGCGGTCACGAGAATCATCTTTAAACGCATTTCCCATAGAGCAATCGTGAGTTTACTCTTGGTGAATAAAAAAAAAAATCACGAAATAGAAATGGAACCGCGAAAGGATAAATGGCTGAATAATTCATTTCATTATTACTTATTCATCCTCCTTTCTGCAATGATTAGATCTCTCGAAATCCACGAGTTATATATGTTCAACGTTCCACAAAACGACGTCAAATATATTTTAAGGATGCGTTTATGATTAATTGCAACGCGCTTTAAAAAGATAATACATATTCGAATTATTTTCAGAAACATATCGAAATTCAAAAAATTTCTATACGTATTTATTTTCTATACTATAAGATATGTGATAATTCTATAAAGATGAATAATGTCCCCCCTTTTTTGTTTTTTTTTTTCAAATAAATAATAAAATTAGGCAGTTTAAGTTTTTGTTGTCGTTAAATGCATTGTTTTTTGTACATTTCTGAATCATTTTGAATCATTTTATTAAACAAATCCTTTGAGACATCAAATATTTTCTTACCATCCATCCTGACGTATTACAGATGAATGTTCATAATTAAATTTCATCGTAATGCGTAGAATTTAAACATATCAAATTGATGAAAATCATGATATATAATAGAATTGTGAATGAACATACTATTTAAAGTCTGACGAACATATAAGCATAAAGGAAAGAAGGAACAAACGCGGAAAGGATAAAAATAGGAGATAAAGAAGTGTTTGCACCTGTCGGGATCGCGATGGTGATGGTTACATGGTCACGTAACCGACCATACGTGAGAATCTCGTACGAGCGAGTCGAGAGGCGCTGGCGAGCTCATAAGTGGAAAATAAGAGGTCCTTTGTTCCGAAGGGCCTCTTCCCTCGACGACGCCGTCCGAGAAATTCCCGATCCTCCCCGACGATATACGTTTCGACGGTCGACCGATCGAATAGAACGAGCCTTGTTCTATGCGAGAGAGCGCACCAAGCCTGAAATCACGCTGCGTGGAAATACTACGGTGCGGCGTGGCGCAATTTATATTGCGCACTGGCGAAAAATTTCGCTATCTCGCCGCCTGAGAATGTCCGTAAATGAGGCAAGGGTCAAGATTTTACACGGACGTTGATTCATCTCAGGCGTCGGGCCAATCATCGCAGACTCTTGTGTCTGTTTATTCATCAATAAGTTTACACGACACGTGCGCGTAGCATGAAAAGTATCGTTTAAACATATCATATATTAATTCATTCTGTCAATCACAATTTGATATACATATCTACATTATATATCGCCTGCGTGTGATAAGTTTGAATTTATCAATAATCAATACGACCATCGTTATGCAACTTGATATATAACTGTCGGATCTTTAGAATGTTAAAAAAAATCAGATTAAACGGAAAATATTGGAAAACCACGCTCGACAATATTGACATTAATTTTCAACATTTCGTTTGCTCAGGTTATCGCGGGGAACAAAAATACCTACCTGGAGTCGAAGCACGAACTGGAGCCATCAATATGGGCGAGCAAAATTCGTTTCCTACCCTACAGCTACCATCGTCGCACCGTTTGCATGCGCGTCGAGCTCTACGGCTGCCCTTGGAACGACGGCATCGTCTCCTACTCGATGCCCCAAGGTGACAAGCGCAACAATTGGGAATTCTTCGACGCAACTTACGACGGTTATTGGGACGGACAACTTCTTCGCGGTTTGGGACAACTGACAGACGGCAAGACCGGACCGGATCAGATTAAGATGGGTTACTATGACAACTACGATAGAAGTCAGGGATGGGTTGGCTGGAAGAACGACACGAGGTCCGGGCATCCGCTCGAGATCAAATTCGAATTCGACCACGTCAGAGAATTTTCGGCCATTCACATTTACACTCTCAACCAATTCACCAGAGATATACAGGTAATTCAGATCTATACAACATTTTACATTTTACATTTTATTGTGTAGCAAAAGATTTATAAAGGTTTTATAAGTTTATGATACAGAACTGCGTGTTTCTTAAACTGTTATCATTGTACCTACATACTTTATATCTCCCAGAAATATCTTTCTTATATCCATTTCCACTTACGCAAATTAATTTTAATCTCCGTTCAACTTACTCTTCATCTTTTTGTAATTCTAAGAATTAAAAAAAGATGAAGAGAAAATTGAACCGAGAGATTAAAGTTAATTTACATTGGCGGAAACGGGCATTATCTCCGCTTGTACATACACTTTTTTTTCACAAGTAAGACTTAAAGTACTAGAAAAATTTATTTAAAACTGGTTTTATGATTGATGATTGATTTCGGAATTCGTGTTTGCCACTGCCATTAGCTACTTATGTCCATTTATCATATTTTACTATAATTCAAGAAGATAACCGTGACGAGACCATATTTGTACGATAATAAGCGAGAAAAACTGTAAACGGATATACGTATGATATAGAGAGGAAATTGGAATGCCTCACGGCACTGACTTGCCGGTGAGAACGAAACGGCTGCTGAATAAAGTAGGCGGTTGGCGAAGGACGGAGAAAAAGATGTAAAAAAGGAAAGACGGACAGTCGCGGCAAAATGTGCGCGAAGATCTTCCGCCAGCCTTTAATCCACATTCAGAGAATAAAAAAAACAGAAAGAATCCATGGGGTTGAGGAGACGGTGTACGGCATGAAATCCAGTTTTCACGTTGGAGTCAAGGTCGGACGTAGGATGGGTAACGAGGCGCAACAACGGTTAGCCCCTGGGTTCGGCTGAAACGGACGGAAGGAGAAAAAGGAAACGACTCGCGGCTTGCTGGATCCGCGTTACGCTTCAAGCGACGGCACGGCGTAGCTTTGCCGGAGACGTCAGTTTTTCTGTAAAAATTTTTCGCCCCCACGGTCTCTTTACGCCTGAGTGTTTACATAATGGCTCGCTGAACACTTGGCTAACGGTAGTATTTTAATAAAATAATTCGGCACTTAGACGCTCGAGATAGCGAGACATAATTTCAAGAAAAATTACTGGACTCTAATAAAACCTAAACGGCCAATTGAAAATAATTTATGATATGGCGGAATATCATTTTTAACTTTGATTAGTAAATTTTATCAATCGAGGCTAAATTATATTGGAGTTAATTGCATGTTGAATGTAACCCAAAATGTGAGAAAGAAAATCTAGTTAAATTTATGAATTTCTTGAACGTCACAGGTGAAGCAAATCGTTATCGAATTTATTTAAGTCGGAAGTACAAGCAATATAAATTCGACGAGATATGTTATAACTATCTTAATTCATTTAGACCAAAACATGATTTAACTAGACGAGAATCACTGAAAGTCACCATTTTCATCGCGGGGAAATATAACTATAAATTTTCATAATTAAATTAAATCGCGTTCTGAAAGCCTGTTATTTCAAAAGCTCATATAAGTAAAGTTATTTAATATACATGCTGTTAACACTTACGTAATTCTCGTTGCGCATCAAGAAATTGAGTTCCGAAATTTAATACGTACGCTGGTTAACCACGAAAATTTTGCGCCCCATTATCATTCCGCGCGAGAATCCCTATATAATAGGCCACGAAACACTCTCTTACCGGTATCAAGATTTATCTGAATGGAGCGCCTCATTACCCGGCTCGAGCCCGATTGTGCGTCCGCGATCAAGCGAGTTGGAGTACTATGCGGCAGACGAGAGGCAGTCAAGGCTGAGACTATAGCTACAACGGCGATTCGTGAAAGAGACCAATGAAGGATTCGCGGAATAGAGACGGAAGGAGATGAAGATCTGACAGAGATGAATATCTCTGAAGAGAGCAGGATGTAACGTTCTTTCTCCTCTTCCTTCCTGTTCTCCTCTCTCTCTCTATTTCGTAAATACAATGAAGCGCAAGCGACGACCGAGAGAGAGCAGATACGTATTCAAATACAATACCGACAGTCTGGCAAGTCGACAGTTCGGCGAATGGGGCTGCAGAGTGGCAGAAGCTACCCCTAAACGACCTCTCCTATTAACAAGCGCGCGCTCGCGCGGATAGGACACGTCTCCCAAAAGACAGCGCTTCAAAGCATCGCCAGCTACCCACCCATCCCTCCAACTCGTCTTTCTCTCCACGACTTCGCGGCTGCCACTTCCTCTATGCCGACTTCCTCATTCTCCCGGCGCATCCGCGGGCGGTAGGCTTCAGAACGTCGAAAATCCATACATCCCTCGTCTTTGGGTCTAAGGGAGTTAGATAATCTCGGCTTTGTAATCTTCGTCCCTAACTCCTACGCTGTCTTATCTCTCTCTCAAGCTCGCTCCCTCTGCCGTTTCGTCCGTTTCACACGGTTCTCGACTGGATTCTCCTCGCTGAATTGTCTTACGCCTTCGAAGGATGAAATTAGCATTCCACGCGTCCTCACTCGCTCGGAACACGTTTGTGAGGTATTCTGTATTATCAAAACCGTCGATGTCATCTCGCAATGCGCCGTTAACTAATTATCTGTTACCGATGATAATAACGGTGATAATACTGATTACGTGAACGTAATCGAGTACCTTTGGTGTGTGTGTGTGTGTGTGTGTGTGTGTGTGTATGTGGATGGGTATGCTTCCGATCAAATTAATTCCGCATGTTAGCTCTGAACACATAGCGCTTTATCCGATCAAATCGCATGCGGTAATCAGGCTCGGTAGTTCGGAATACATGTCCTCGTTACAGAACGCCACTTGTGGAAATATTAATACATTGTATTTTTTTTTGCTTATTGTGTTTCAGATATTCTCCGAGGTCAGCGTTATGTTCAGCATTGGCGGCAGATACTACACGGGTGATCCTATCGTGTATTCCTACATGGAGGACAAAATCTTCGAGCAACCGAGAAATGTTACAGTCAAGTTACACCACCGAATCGGCAAGTTCGTCAAATTGAAATTCAAGTTCGCCTTACGATGGATTATGATCAGCGAAATCACCTTTGACTCCGGTGAGTTGTATAACGCTCGGCTTCTGCAATTTTCTCTACTTTCCACTTCTGTTTGCCTTCGGAGTTCGAATAGGAAGTTCGTAGTCGTGACAACACATGTTCAAAACTTTTTCCGTACATAAAACGTAAAAACTAACAGAAATATATATTATTATTCTACTTAATAAAAATGCAGAAAAAATTAAAGAATCTAATAAGAAAATATTTTAAATATATTATACCGAGACAATAAAATATTAAAAATATTAACACTATTATAGATAATTTCGAAAATGGAGCGATTTACGAGATTTATCATGTTGTTGTCAACGTATCTGTGTTACTGCTTTACATTTTCAATTAATAAACGTCATCAAAGTTAGCACCTGAAAATGCCGTATTCAGCAGCACGTGTTTCTATCGTGTTGCAGACATTGCTCACGGTAACTTCACGCCAGAAACGCCGCCCACGACCGAAGCTCCGCGATTGCGGGATAGAACTTTGACTCGCGACAATCCGTTGCAAGCCGAAGTTCCGGTAGCTAAGCAGGACGATCCGACTTACATGGCTGTGATCATTGGCGTCTTGACCGTCGTAATTCTGCTACTGGCGGTAGCCATATTCCTAATAGTCACGCGTCACAGACAGCGTAAGAACTTTGCCAGTCCTCTGGGCGCCAAGAGCGCGATTCCGACGGGCAATCATCAGCATCTGTCGCCAGAATCCGCGTACGGCACCACGGAGAAGGATCCCTCCTTGATGACCTACCGGGTCGAGGAACTCGACGACCGGTACGCCGGTACGAAGCTCACGACCCTACCGCGAGATCTCAATGATCGTCTTTTGGGCGATGTCAGGCTTGACGAGTACCAGGAACCCTTCCATGAGAACAAGTATCGAGAATCTCCTCATGCGGCGTACTACGGATACAGCACGGTTGTTGTAGACAACAAGGACCTTCATGACAACGTCGAACAGTCTGGTGAGTTCCTTGAACTTCTTCAGCATGACCGAGGTGCTTCAAAGTACAAATACGAGATAGACGAAATAGTCCAATTGTACCGCGCGTTATTTAATAACCCTTTGTATCATATATGTCTCAACCACAAATTCAGCATGAGTCGCAACCGTCAAGCAAACAATAATAAATATTTCGCTTGACAAAAGGGCAGTGAAAATAAATATTTTTTGCTGCACAGATGCCACGTACGATTATGCAGTACCAATGCCTGTGCCTAGTGTAAGCAGCGATCAGGATAGCGTATTCTCGAAATCGTCCTCCAGGGGTAGCGCAAAGGTGAGATGTAAAAGCATAATATAAATTTGTCGCATTAAGAGTTAAAATCTCTTCAAAAATTGATGAAATTACGAATCTTTCACATTTATTTTTGACATAACTCGAGTTTCTCGTAAAAATGAAAAAAAAAACATTATCGATATCCTTTATAATTATTTAAAGTGTGTCAATGAATTACAAGTATTAGAGATTAAAGATTAGAAATTGTTGTTTTTCTAATTATTCTTAAAACGAATATATTTTTTATGAAACGTGTTTGCTGGACACACGAAGGCGTTTTATATACTTTTCCGATGCATTAGGCGTGCTTGCAGAGCTTTTTTCCGCCGCCTCCGCCCCCGATGAGCGCACCACCTCTTCGAGGTTCCAACAATTTGACGTACTCGAATCCACCGAGTCCGGAACCAGTTTGCGAGCGTGAGCGCAGAAGTAGCAAGCGCCGCGAGCACTCCTTGCACAGATACGCGTAAGGACTTCTCGCAACCCGCAGGATATTCACGGAAAGCGAAAGGATCGAAGGTATGATGGATGCTTCAAGCAACGAGATCGCGTGATCGAATGAACCCTCCGGCACTGGTTCACCTTCCAGAACTCTGTTCTATTTAATGTTCCAACAATAATTCTTTCATATTTGTAACATTACACTAATTCGAAAGTTATATTTAAATAATAATTCTTTTGCTTTTCTTCGCGCTAGAAAAAGATACACTTTTCATTGATCCAGTTTCTCTCGTGTTATCGTGCTTTGTCCAATAATTATTCATGAGTATGCTATTATCAACTTCGTGATCAAATTAAACTGTCGTCTTGTGTGACGAATTCTCTTTGCAAGAGAATGCTTATAGAATTAAATTATTCACACGTATACATACGTGGTCCTGAATTTTACAAATCCATTCCACACGCTTTATTCCGTACGCGTGTTTTACAATATTTATACGGAGGGAAGGAACGTAAGCATGGAGCAGAGTAAAATAGCTCCAGTGCCGTGAGGATGCTGCGAGAACACACCCGTTGTTAATCCCAAGGTAAAGGGCGGTGGCAAAAGTAACACGTTGTATATTTCGAAGTAAACGCTGTGAGCGACCGCGCGGCGAAAGGGGTCGTAATCCTGCTTGTTACAACGACGATATTTTTTCCCCCGAGTTTAGCGCATCGCGAGAAAAAATAAATAAATAAATAAACGACGCGATCGCAGCGCGGTCGCGTCCGTCGCGAAACAGACCTTCTTCTCGACGAGCACTGCCATCGACGAATTACGAATTTTCGAACATATTAATTGTAGGCGCAATCTCGAGCAATCACGGTCTTTTAAAGAGATTCGATCTACGCAATTTCTACGAATAAGTATAATCTCGTAATCGAAGTTGTATTAAATTGGCATATCAGTTTTTTAATGGTAAAGTGACCTCGTGCAAACGACTCTTCCCGAGATTCGCCCGCAAGATCTGCACGAAAGTCTGTAAAAAAATCACACATTCTAAAAAATATTGGTGTGGATTTAATTTCACGCAGTATTTATATAATTCTCACTTTGATATTATGTAATAACCCCTGATGTGTTAATGTAACGTGTGGATGTAACACCACATGATGTGGATTTAACATCATGGATTTTAAATCCATACCATGATAGGGTTGATATAAATACACCGAGGATTAATATTAATATCAACACGATAAGATTTATATACATACCATACGACGTTGAATCCATACTGGCATCTTTTTTTTTAGAGTGCAGTACATATATTTCGACGTCCATGGTTTTCAGATTATTCATTGAGAGTCAAATCTCAGCATCCGTCGCGTTTCAGCGTCTCACACTGCCAAATCTTTTCGTAGTACGAAGTGGAATTTCGTGAACGAGATGTAACGTGTGACGTTGCGAAATGCCACTTCCTCCTGTCAATCTCTTCGAATGGCATCAGGCAAACGATGTGTAATCGTTACGAGGAATATACACATGTCAACGTGTGCGGACGAATTTCCAAGGAAGAGTCGCGTTAATGATTTGGTCTGTTCGGCGCGCATGTGCAACAAGATCAAGCTCGCTATCGATCCAAGAGGAACGCGTGGCAACCAGGGAAAAAAAAAGGACCGGGGCGGATGAGATATTTATCCGATGGCGCGATCGTCACGTCGGGTCGAAGAGATAATTAATTACTCGCTTGATGGAATAAGCGGGCGTTTCAATTATTCGCGCGCATGAACGAACGCCAGGCGACGCGACGCTTGACATCAGGAGGAAAAAGCCGCGACGAGATCGACGTAACGATATTTAAAAAGGAGGAACGATAGCGAGCTTCGATCCCGCCTCACACAAGACTGATGTCATATAAATAATTCAGTAATCCGACTTGCGCCATGCACGCGTATGTCATATTATTTATTGTCCCGTGACGGATTTTTAATTTATATATACATATATATATATACATACGAAAAAAATAAAAAATATATATAGATATATATATATATACAAAAAAGGTAAAATACGTATTATCGTACGACGACGAATTTTAAGCATATAATAGATTATATATAAGTCCAATTAACTTTATTTCTCTATCTCTACCGACATCGCCTTCATGCAACGAGGAGAATCGAGAATTACCAGCGTTAAGGAACCGACAATACAGGGATGAGACAACAATAACTACATGTGTACGTAATTGAACAAAAGAGAAAAAAAAAACGTAGAGAGATTCGGGATATCGGGTGCGCAAGGATGAGAGAGACCCTCGACCATATTGTGATATATAATGAAAAAGAGCCCGGCTCTCGCGAGTAACATATATATATAGGCACGTTATATGCTTAAGCGTGCCTTGCGCGGTGGAGCTCTCCCTTGAATTTCACCCTGAAAGAGCAGCCGTAAAGTGCACCGACTCTCTTTCTCTCTCCTAGGTCGACGAATGGCTGTGTGCACCTGTGTGCGCGGTGCGAAATTTATTACCGGTTTAAATATCTGACGTGGAACGTGGCATGAAATTTAAGGCTCGTTCGGCGCTTTTACCGCGAGTCGTTCAAATAGTTCTCCCGTACGTATTATTTGATCGTCCATTGACCGCTGCACTTTCTTTGATTACCGATCGTAATCTATTAAGCTCAATTTTTCTCTCATTTCATCAAATCGGTCTCTACGGCATCATTTCGAGTCTCGCTCTTGCAATATCATATGTCCCGAGACCGAATATACTAATTGACATTCCGCTATTTTTTATCCGAACGAGTGATTCGAGGGATGTTCGCGCACATATCGGTTTTTCGATTAAGCGTGAGACAGTTTGGCTCGTCGAGGAGAAATTTAATCGAGCGTTCCCCCGCGCAGGTCGCGCCCTTTCGCGGCAAGAGCGGCGCGTAGCGTCTACAACGATTGGAACATTGCTATGTATATTTAGTGTTTAATCGATATCGTCGCCACGTAGGATGTTAGGAAATTTAAAGAGAAAATTAACAGTGACAGCTTCGAACGCTTCTCGAGTGTAAATATTAACCGTTAGGGACCTCGTACATATACACACACTTTCTTCAAGCGCCTTAAGTTGGGGGGGGGGCACCAAGCAAATAATTTCGTCGCAATAATAATCGTCGTCTTTTAGGAACGGGAGATATCACGTACAAGCGGTTATCGTTATCGTAATAGAGCGACGACGGACAAAATGATCCGCGTCGCCATCAAGGTCCATGGGAGCTCGATCTTCGATTTCGTCGCTTTTAAGGGACCGACGCGCGATCGTGCTCGCCGAGTTTCCTCTTCGTCGATGGTTCTCGATAATTTTCTCGCTCAACGATCACTGTGATCGATTCGCCGAGCTATCGTTACCACGACACGGAAAATTCGAGTACCTTGAACCCTCTCTCGTACTTCCAACCGCTGACAGTCCGCTCCTGGCAATAATCGTCAATTTTGTCTCCTAAACTAACATGAACGTGCACGTGCTCCGCGTGACGCACGTCACGAGCGAGCTAGATCAGTAATCGGTAAGAACGAGAGAAAGACAGCGAGATAGCGGAAAGTTAGTTTGTGTAAAAAGAAGTTGCGCGCGAGTTAAGGGAGATCCTCTCCCCGACGAAGGAAACGATAAAGATGACGATGGAAGACACTTTCGTATCTGCTCACGGCGTACTTCGTACGGGATATTTTATATCTCTTTTATACTTGTATGAAACCGCACAAACTGCCGACAGTGCCAGTTGATATTCTCTATTACAACGTGTGAGACCGTTCTCTAGTATCATCTGTAATTTTCTCGTCGTTTTTTCATAACTTCTCATTAACATTTTTATACTTTTATATGGTGTTGTTACTTTCGATTTAACCATCCAACTGCAATCATATTTTTACTTTCTCTGTCCAGCCCAAGTTTCTGTGCTAGGTTTTCAAAAAATGTGGAAAAATTCAACTACTCTTCAATATCCTTATTATATACTTAAAGGGTAATCTATATTATACACTTAACTAAAAAAAAGATATTTAATTTATTTATGAGAAACATATTTATTTCACTGAAATAAATATTTATATGCTTAGCAAATGAGTCATTTATATTATTTTTTTTACAATTAATGAAATATGTTTCACAAAAATGTATGTTTCATTATCACAATGAAATTTTTTCATAACTAATAAATATCGAAAAGAACGTAAGTAACATTTACTTGGACATTTTTCTCTCAGTGTTAAATAATTTTTTAACAAGATATTTTAAAAAGAGCAACCGTGCTCAGTCCTTTATTTCGGAGAAATGGATTTTAAAGGTAAAATTTCGCTTATATGCCAAAAAAGATCTAAATTGCAGATGGAAGGTTAATATTACCGTGACACGTTTACCCAAACTTATCACTTTTTGTAAATTACTCTAAGCTAAGAAGAAGTTTCTCTAATCTATTGTTCTCTAATATAAAATAACCGAACAGTGAGAATGGCGATTGCTAAAGACAATGCGTGCAGATTATCCGAGCTCTCGAATAGCATCAACGTACAACAAAGATCCCTCGAAGACATAAATAATGGCATCTATAGTAACTGGTCGATCCGTTAGAAACTAGTTCAAGCAGAACCGGATACCATTATCTACATCCTAGGAGTCAAATTGGACATGGTCGTAATTTCAAGTTATTCTCATCAGCAATGAGAAGCGTTAATAATCTCGGGGGCTTAAAGGGGATTCGTTCTTCCGGATCGCGCGCGCGCATGTCATACAACTAATTCTTATCGCCGCTCTCACAGTATCGGAAGATAGCACGGAGATAGCACTGTCTTGGCACCGTATGGGTTCCTTGCCCTCGATATACGTATGTACTTTTACGCCAGTCGTAAGTTTTCTTCCGGCCGCTATGTCGAGGGCGATACAACGATACACGAGCACGGCCCGCCGATATAACCGAGATACGACATGATCGGTTCTGCATCGGTACGTACAATGTGCACAGGAACACGGTGCAGCCGGTGCGACCGGGGAAAAGTCTCGGGCATAAATCACGCATGTAGCCCTTTTTCTATCTGACATGAGAAATGCGAGAAGAAGCTCCGGTTGAACCGACGACACGGGGTCCGACGGAACGCGCGGCAGACGGAAAGAGGGGAAACTGGCCCATCTTTTATACGACGACACGTAAGTGCGTGCGCGTACATGCGACTCTACGAGGAAGCATGAAAAAAGAAATGGACCAACCTGAGAGGTCGTTTGATCGATCGACCTTCGGAGCTGCATTATGCTCGCGGGTACATCGCAATTAATACGAAACGTGCCGAGAGAAACCGCACAAAAATTTATTTACATGATTCTCCTTAATTAAACAGACAGCAAGTTTCATAAAATAAATTGAGATAATAATCTTTTTCCTCATATTTATGCTAAAAGTACTTTTAATGTATATGATAAGATCACTGACAGCTACTTATTATCTCGCAATTCTCATGAAGATAATAATTCTTGTACGTATCACTACGACATTTATAACTGCACGATGAGTTCGGCCACGTATATGATTTCTGTACGAGAGACTCGTCAAGAGCAGACACCGTGTACATAAAAGATCGATCGTGAAATACCTCGCGTCTGGCTGTACTGTACTGTATTGTAGAAAGTCGAAGAAAGCATGGTGAGCAGATACGACGACGACAATGACAACGATGATGGTTTATCAATAGATTTAGCACGAGCGATAATAGGAAACTTTCCGCCACCCCGAAGGTATTAAATGCGCCGCATAATCTCTCGATGTATATAGCGACTGTAATTTATACATACATATGTGTAAACGTATTATAAATACGCCCGTCGATGCGCGGGAGCGACCATTTGTATATATCTGTATTATATAATGTAAACGACGAGTACGGAGGGGCGGTACCATTGTGAGTGTAATTATATTGATCAATAGCATAACGCGAGTACCGGATGCATATTTGATATTTGTGTGCCTGTATCCTTTTGTATGCTATCGAGATAGATAAAAACAAAACTATACATATTATATTGTATTAATTGCGACGTAGGTGACTACGAGGTGTGTAACGTAAACGCATACAGTACACGAACAACAAGAATACATACACGCATGCGTACACAAAGTCATACACACAGATTCGTCGGATTAATTGGCCGACGAATAAAATAAAACTTTTAGCGAAGCGAACATGATTTTATGAGATTTTTTTTATAACCTTGGAAAAATCATCTTATCTTATTTTATCAAGATTTCTTGCTAATCTAAGAGAAAATATAGTTCCTATAATCCTATTCAATACCTTTCTTAAAAAAACTGCTATATATCAATATCGTGTGTCAGCCTTGATTACGAGAATAATTATTTTAGTCAGTTTCAATAATTGCGTTATCGCGTATAAGTACAATAAAAAAAATCTCAGACTGCAGCAGCTATTGAGGATCAATTATCTAGGTAATTGCAGAATAATCCAATGAACAGTTCGTTTAATTGAAAATCTCCGGAGATTCCATAAATACTCTTTAATCTTCATAAATGAATATACATTTGAAGGTACGAGGTATTACATACTTAAAATCAACTGGGAATTTGTTTATTAGCTATTTTGTAAAGTGATTTATACTTCTAGAGTTTTGAAAATTCAAATTTATAACTAACAAAATGTATTTCAAACTGTTTATGGACTAGATTAAAAATTTTTATAGATATTAGATAAATAAATTGTAAATTTCTTTAATTTAGTTTGGATCACAATATAGTTATGCAATAACTCATGTGAGAAGTCTATGAACTATATTAAAAATTTTTACGAATATTATAATAAATAAATTGTAATAAGAAAATTTAATTTTTTTTGATCATGATGTGAAAAGTTTAAATTTTCGTTTTTTCTTTTTAGTTTTAATTAAATTATTTAGTTTTAATTAAATTAACATATTTTTACGTAATTTCAATATCAATTAATTTCTATTCTTAAATTGGATTAATTTTTAAAGGCAATAACCATTATTGTTTTAGTAACGGGTAACACACAAAATATACATGGTAAAAACTTTTATATTAGAAGTGTTACAAACTCTGCCTAACGTACCCACGTATAGGTCACGTCACGCTGGGCTTTCGCAGTGTCTGTCGTCCTTTCATCGTACTAATTTGGCACCGTCAACGACGTCATTTGTCATTCTAATGGCTAGAACGACGACCGCGTTTTTAATGACTCGAGGGTGAAAGCGGCACTCTGTGCGTTCCCTTCCATTTCACCACCCTCCCCTCCCCTTC